TGAAAGCATTAAGTGGCCTGAGCAGGCTTGTAAATCAATACACAGTTGTCCCAACTCAGCTGCTCATTTTAACAGGAATCACTTCACAATGGCAGTGTTGGGTAGAGAGATCTCCCTCATTGGGAGAAACATTTCTCCAGAGAATGGATTAAGTGGGAGACAACAACATGTAGGGCTGGGAAACAACAGCCCACTCCACAGGCTCTCATAATAAATTTATGGAGGCTGTTGGGCAGTAGTCTCCAGGCTCACATATTCTTAATCCTATTCACTTCTGGGTATTTATGCTGCACCCATACAGAACCTCACACAGATACTGTTTCTGTGAAAAGCACCATTCAAGACTGGAAGTGGAGGACAACTTCAAAGTGTTGGTTTAAAAAAATCTCTCCACGAATTGATAAACTGTCTGGAGAAAAACAGGTACACCCTTCACATTAATTGGTAAGTGCAGTATCTGCAAATTTGAAACTTGCAGGTGTAGGTAATATAATTGGGTAATTTAAGTTATGTTAGTCTCTGTTAAGTTTATGCAAACATGTTTTGCATGTCTGTTTTTGGCTGTGTTGGGGCGGGGTGCACGAACAAAATTGTAACTCAAAGTGTGCTCAGGTCAAAAAGTTGGAAAACTGTTGCTGTAGAATAATTGTTCACTTCCATCACCGATAAACTAATGTGCTGCATGGGACCTGAAATACAGGGGCTGGACTTGTTGTATATAAAAGAACGCTGTTCAAAACTGATAGGCCTGTGGGGTAAGGGGAAAAAAGGGTTGAACCCTTGAATCGGGTTTTTAATGTCTCAGATCCAACCCTTGCTGGGTTCAACATCTTCCTCAGTTTTGCCTTGCACTGGGAATGGCAGCAGAATCTCCTCTCCGAGGGGAACTTTTCTTTAGCAGAGGCCTAAACTCTTTAACTCAAGCTGACAAGAGAGCAGCCGTCTGCTCTGTAGTATAGGCGGCCACTGATTGAACTAGCACAAGGCAGCAAATTAGGATGAAAACAACAGTAATAAACAAAAAATATTCCTGCAAGGAAACAATGATGGGGGTGTTATATATAGCACAGAAGGGTAATGATGAATCTTCACTAAGGATTTCAAATCTCTAGTGCAGGGCAAAATGAGGAAGGTGCTGAGCACAGCCAGGGCTAGATTTAAGGGATTAAAACCCTGATTCAAGGTGAACATTTAAGGCTAGTGAAAAGTGCAGGGTTGCTTAATTTCCTCCAGGCCTGACTTCCGCCCACAGGCAGCCAGAGCAGCAGCAAAGAGCCCCAAACTGACTAAATCCCAGTGGAAAACCCTGTAAAGTTTTCATCTTTTTAGGTTCTGAAGAGTGATCCAGATTGACTGGTTGTGAAACTAACTTGCAGCCTGGCTCTATATCCACTCCTCACTGAATTAGCATCTTAACATTGAATGAAGTAGGCTGTGACCTACAAAAGCTCAGGCCTCACAGTCAGTCTCTAAGGGCCGCCCTGTCATGCTTTCTACCCATTGAACCTCAAAACTCCCTTTACAGAGGGCAAGGAGCAGCAAATAGTTATCTGTGCCAGATGCAGCCTTAACCTCGCCTGTATTCATTATTTGCTTTCATTATTCAGTTCCAGAAAGAAGTCAGCCAAGAAAAGAAAAGAAAAAGAAAAAGAAAAGAAGAAAATCGCATTTGGTAAGAAATGGCCAATGGCTCATAGCTGAGATCCAAGGTTCCCTCAAGTGAGTGCAGTATAGATGAGTAGGACGCTCAAGCTTTTGGGGACAACACAGCAACATGAGTGAGATTTAAAATTCTGAAATGTGTGTTGTACAATGGAGAGAGATTGTGACCATGCAGTGAGAGAGAGTTTGGTGCACAAATAGCATTTGAATTCAGTACATAAACACTCTACCCGAGTTACCTTTTTCCACAAATATCCAAATGGAGTCCCACATATGGATGTACAGCATGCAAGAGTTCAATACCAATTACAAAAAACAGGAATGGGGAACACCTACATGGGGGGAATGGGGTAGACACACCGCCTCCCCCCTCACATTGGTTCCACTACCTTTAAGTAGTAGTTGCTTCCTGCAGGATTTTTGGAGCACTGCAAGGGCATGCACATCTCTCTGTTCCTCCTCGGAATTGCTTCAAATATTACATTTGAGGGCCTGAGAGAGAACCTCTTTTTAATTGGCTTGTCAATCTCTCATTAAGCGTTGACTGTATTCCAGGTAATTGTGCTTGGATAGACCGTTCATTCCATCAGGGTGACCTTAATCCCTGGCCACGGGCTCAGCTTAATTCAAGCCTCTTTGGAGCCCCTGTTTGAGGACTCAAGCAATGAACAAGTTTTTGGCCAGCCCTCAGCATAGGGCTGCATTCCCCCCATACAGCTGAGCTCTACTCCTCCATGCATCTTCAGTGAAGTCACACAGGGTGCGATGCTGTTCCAGCACTGCACCGTCACCACATGATCAAATAGAGATAGAAGGCAGGTTGGGACAACCAGTGCATCTTTCATAACATGCAGACATCGCTAGTAAGAGAAGTTGGTATAGAAACAGTAAATTAAGTTGGCCCTCAGTTCAACACCACTTGTTAAACTTTTCCTGTATTGAAGCTTTTTTTGATTTTAAAGAGGTATACATTTTACAGTTTTCTAGGTGTGTTTAGCCCCAGTCTGCTTAAGGTACAAGACCATCACCAAAGTTGTCAGAAGATGAGAGCTTATACTCCTTTTCTGCTTTAAAATGTTGTAAAAAAGGTTGAGTGAATATTTTTTTAAGTTTTAATCATAATGGCATATCAGGCAAGTGATTGCAGTATCTGGGCTGGTAAAATTGTGACAAATTTGCAAAGCCAATTTAGTATTTCTTAGTTATATGCACACATCCACTTTATTTTTAATAGAAGAAACTGTTTTGCTACTTCAGAACTGGCTTTCTAGCTAGAATCAGTACGGATGATCTAATCTCAATGCCTGGACAATGCCGAAGAATTATTGTACTTCTGCAAAAGCAAGGAAAAATTAATTCAGAGCAGAACTCTGGTGCCTTGTATTCCATGCAGCAAGAGGAGGAGGAGGAAGTCTAGAATATTTTTCAGTGCTTTCTTATTCCATGTTCAAGTCTAGCAATGTTTTGTGGTCAGGAACATCAACCACCAGTATCTGGCAAGAAGAGCATCATCTCAGATTGGAAATAATGATAAAATAAGAGGATCATTGTAAATACATGCACATGGACTTGAGGGTACAAATTTACAAGCTAATTTTGATTCCAGCAAAATTTTTGGCACTTTTCCAAGCTTTCTACTGAATCCAGTTCTGAAGAAAATGAGTAATGCATATGTGCCATATCAAGACTACATTGGATTGTCAAACACACAAAAAATCATTACTGGTCAGGCTTCACAAAAGTCAAGAGAGTCTGCTAATGGAGCACAATCAGTACAACTTGACTGGATAGGAAAAGACACCATTTCATAAAGATGCGGAAGATTAGCAGAGGGGAGTGGGGTGGACAAAAAAAAAAAAGCCTATACAAATTGCATCAATACAACAGTATATATAAAAAAAAGCAGCCATCTCTGCTTATGGAACTTCATATTAAAAAATGAGAAGTCATCCAGGTCTCAAGACCCATTTTAATCATTTGTTTAAAAATGCAAAGAGCAGACTTGGGAGGGAGGTGCAGCTTCTAGAGTACCCCAGGTCAGGATGTTTAAAACCAGAAAGGTCTCTAGTCAGTACTAGCTAATGCCTGTAGGGCTTTATTACTCGGCAACCCTCTCTTGACAGTGTATCATCACTCCATCAATAGTCCATACGTTTCTTCTTGATATAGCAATGTGCACATTATGGCAAGGAGGAAAAATAATAATAATAAAACATTTCCAGTGCAGTATCTCAGATCATAGCCAAAATTCTCTGTTCCACTTTTCTCTCTGTTTTTGGTAGTGAAAATCTTGGAGAGAACACCCCTGTTGCACATGGTGAGCAAACAGACCATCATAACTCTCACCTCCCCCCCCCCCAGTGCGCCTCTGACCCACAGTTTAAAAAAAAGAAAAAGGCAGAGATGAGGGAAAAATGAGGTAACTTCTCCCAACAGGGTGCATACATGTACCGCTGGCTCTTCTAAAGCGCCTACTGTCCATTAGGAGATAGGGTGTGGGGACTTGGCAAGGTGACGGTTACATAAAGAAGAAGCTACAGGAGGAGAGAAAAGGAAAAAGAGGTTCAGAATCAAAAAAAGAAAAAAGAAGAGAAGAGAAAACAGCAACATTTTAAAGAAAAGTCATGTGTGAAAGAAGAGAGAGTGTACTAGTGTCTGTTTTTAGAAACTGGGGCAGCTTAAAAATCAGGAAGAGTGCAAGGATGTGGACCTTACTAACCTGCTATTTTGTTAACTGGGGAAAAAGAGTGGGGAAGAGCCCAATTCTTCTACAGAATTGTTCTATAATTTATTTTAGTGAAAAAAAATGAGTGGAAACTGAGAGTAAGGCACTTTTGGAGAAGTGCCTTGACTCTAAGAAGGGGTGCCTTGAGTTTAAAAAGATGGAGAACACTTGCAGCAAGGGAAGTTTAGGTTAGATATTAGGAAGAATTTTCTCACTAGAAGGGTAGTAAAACACTGGAACAGGCTACCCAGAGAGGTGGTGGAAGCTCCATCCTTGGAGGTTTAAGACCCAGCTAGACAAAACTTTGGCTGGGATGAACTAGTTGGGGATGGTCCTGCTTCGAGCAGGGGGCTGGACTAGATGACCTCTTGAGATCCCCTCCAACCCTAAGTTTCTATGATTTTACGGTGGTAATGAAGACTATAAATGTTAACGGCTCAGAACAGCCAAAGGAACAACCAACTCAACAACAAAAGATGTCTACGTATACTTCAAGTACAAATGTGTACACACTCAGTTTACATGTTTTCACTCCCTGTTCTCCCTCTCCCCCCATGCCAAACAGACATCAACCAACAGTGACAACAAGAAACAAAGCAAAACAAAAATCAAAAGCACGCAAATACAAGAACGTTTGGGTAAAAATATATTTTCTTTCCCCACTTCATGTGTCGACACTAGCCATATATGTAGCCTGGGTCAAGTACAGGTAGTAGCTGAGCTATGCCATAAGATTATTATTCAGTTTGTACTTCCAAAATGAAATATGTTTACATTAATAAAGTGACAAATATCTAACAGATGAATATATATATTTCTGCATTAACACTGTATGTAAGCTACACAGTCATTTAGATATAAACATAGGTTATTTTCAAATAGAAAGGCAACAGTAATAATGTTCTACACCTATAGTTTAAGGCAATCAAGATATTAAAAATGTATACAAATACAAATATTTCTACTGCTGTTCACAGCTTAATTTTTAGTTAATTAAAAAAATCCTTCATATTCGTATAGTCCCATACTTTTACACACTGGCTGGAACATCGTAGATACTACATACTGTAATGCAACCCTGATCCTTCGAGAAAAGATGACAGGAGCAAAGAGTTCTAACGTCTGAAAATAGCAAATGGTAACATGATTCAAGTGGACAAAATTGCATATGATCACACATACAAGACATTTCAGTTCTCAAGACAACAGTTTAAAAGCAGAACGAGAGCTACCTGAAAAACAAAACCAACTGATGACATTAAATAAGACTTGCTTAAAAAGAGACAAATACAAAAAAGCCTTCTCAACAGGATACGTTGCTAAAAACGTACAAGGTACCAAAAGGATGGAAGATTTAGGATTGAAGAGGCGGGAGTTCCCAGGTAAAATCTGGATATGCTGCCTAAATGTGGCATTCTGGGGTTCAAAAGCACAGCTACTTTGATTGTTTAGACCAGTGATTTTCAACCATGAAGCACCCTGGGGTGCCCTGCAATCCATTCAAGGGTCCTACAGGGTGTCACACAATGTTAGCACTGGTAGGTGTGCAAACATGACTCACAAGATAAGCCCTGAAAATTCAAATAGGAATCCATAGTATCAAAACCATTCTGGCCTATTGGGTTCTTTGCAACAGAAGAATTGCTGTTATGTTTCTGTAGTTGAAAAGACAAGTGAACATTAAGAGGTGACATTTTTCAAGGGGTGGAGGTTGAGAATCACTGGCTTAGACTTCCAGGGTGGAGAGCCCAGTGAAGGGACAACTATATTATTCTCCCCTCCCCATGTAACCACCCTTTACTCCTCAGTTTATGCTGAAAGACAAAGACTTTAGCACAGTGACGAAATGCTCATTAAAACTCCGAGCATGGTTGGAGCTCTTGGCATGACAGACAAACCTGGGCTGAAGGGCAAGAGGAAAGGGGCTTACTTCTTCTGAGTGTGTATTAGATGGTATGTTGTAACATTTGGTCTTTACATGACCCTGAGTTGAAGTAAGGGAAGCTAAATCACAGTGATTTATCCCTAAAACCAATGATAAACTACTGTTGTTTAGCATCCACTCATCACAGGATATAGCAGGGGGGTGAAACAGCTACAGAAGATTCAGCTAACCTGCCTGAAGTCTCTCACTTTTAGATCAGCCTAATAGTTTCATCTCTTTACACTCTCTGATAGCCATGGCCATCACCAGTGTCAGTAAGGCCCAGTTTAAGACAGGGCACAGGTTCTTATTTACTTCATTTACCTCATTCTTACCTAATTTACACAGAAGTAAGGTATTCAGGAGTAATCAGCATTGGCCTCACTCTGTTACAGAAGTTAATGGGCTACTTGCACTGTTTGTTTTAATGGGAGCAGACAGGTCAAAGCTGAGAACTCTTGAGCCTCCACCCTGTTCACTCTCCTTGGGAAGTGGACTGAGTCACTGGGAGTCAGGCATCAAACTGCCACCTGTGGCATTGATAGTTGGCCTTGAAATGCCATTTTAGCGGTGCAATTCAAAGCAAATACTACCCTTCTCAAGGCAAGTGTGTGTGTCATTTGGGCCTTTTGTCTACGGGGGTATTTCCACATCCAAGAAACACTAATTTGCAGAAATTCATTCAACATTCTCACTCATTTTTAATAGCCTCAAGATTTAAAAAAAAGGCTTGAGGAAAATGTGGCATGGGCAGTGACCAGCTACTTTAGTTTAAATAATTATACCACACATCACAATTGTGCAGATTCTTGCAAGGAAGAGTTAAGATTACACAACTGTCATGAGAAATTAGTGAGACCAAGCTAGTGCCATAAATTGATATTTTCAAAAAGAAAAAAAGATCACATTTGAAATGCAACAGGATTGAGGCACTTAACTCTTTTACAAGTCCCAGGACAGTCTGGTTATTGTTGAATCAAAACACTTAAAATAATTTCAGCTTTGCCACTCAAAAGAAGAGGGCTTAAAACAACAACCACCACCAGCGGCTGTTTGGTTCATTTCAATGGTGGGCAGAAAGTCTTACTACTATACTTACATGCAGAAGTGAAAAGCACATCCAACTAGATTTGAGGGGATCATTTATTCCATGCAGAGCCAGGGGCTGCTGTGAAAAAAGGCATAGATACAGAAAGGAAGGAAGTGCAGCAGTAACAAGCTAAACATGGCCCAGGGATTTTTAAAAAATTAGCATCACACTTGACAAAAAAAATAAACCTTTTATGTCCACAAGATACAATTTTATTTCTAGCTTCTCCAAAGCAATACGATATATTTCTTGTTCAGGGAGGGGGTAAATGAGGAGGAAGGTGGAGCTGCTGGAAAAAGAAACCAACCCAAAACATGTCACTCAATTCAGATGATCTCAGCCAAGCAACCCTGGAAAGGGGCTAAGCAGGAAAAACAGTTAAAAAATGTCTGACTTGGCACAGAAACCCATCTGCTATTTAAACACATAGACATGATTGATGCAAACACACTACACAAGCAGTCAAGCTTCAGAGCTGAGCACTTTGTGTGATCACCAGGGATCCTGGTTTTCCCTTATAAAAAAAAAAATTAAAAAAAAAAAAAATCGCAAATTCTCCGATTAAACCCCCAAAATCCATGATTAAATTGTACGGCTGCTATGTATATGGGTATCAGTTTAACACAATGTTTTATGGCTATATATACAGTTTTAAAGCAATTTGGAAGCCTACTAGTACGTCAATCATTATAATAAAATATGTTCTAAATACCTATACATTTTAGTGTCTGATTTTGGGTTTTTCATCGTGGAAAATCAGAACTTTTGCTGCCCCCTGACTTCCCAGGATGCGGGTCCAGCTGTGGTTGCCCCCCCCCCACACTGCTTTGTGGTGCTGAGCAGCCCTGATATGTCATTGCCCCTCACTCCCAAGCTACAGCCCCTACCCCAGCCCTGCCGGTGCCCCTCACTCCCTGCCTACCTCCCACTCGCTCCCTCCCGGCAGCAGCTCCCCCCATGCACCAAGATGTGGGTCCAACTGTGGCTGTTCTATCATGAATCCCCATTTGTGACCTGTAACCCCCCAGCCCCCTGCAAGCCCCACTTACCTCACAGGCTCCAGGAAGGAAAAGTGATCCCGAGCCAAGGCTTGGCTGACACAGCCTCAGGCCCCACCCTTTCCCCCTCTCCCTCTGGACAGGGTTGGGGGTTCGCCACCCTTTTTGCGAACAGCTCTTGCAGGCTGGACCTGTGCTTGCCTGCAGAGCTCTTTGCAAGAGTGGGAAATCCGTGAGTATCTCTGCCAAAAGGAAAAATCTGTTTTTTCTCCAATAAAGGGGAGGAATCCGTGGTTTTCTGTTTTTCTCTGGGAAACGAAAAACCCGGATCCCTGGTGATCACATGCTGCCTATGATTAGGAAATTGGTTGCAGGGAGTCAATTCCCGAAGAGTCAATAAGGTTAGGCTCAGTAGTAAGCTGACGTTTGGTACTATTTTACCTGACTACTGTAACTGCTGGTCTTTTCACAGATTAAGACGCTCGCATACAGTCAGCCTGAATTCTGAAATGGTTTCTTTCCTGCTTTTACCTCTGCTTAAATTTTGCCATCTGTCCACCTACCCTTCCTTTGTCCAAGAGCCATGTTTAAGCAGTGAAAGTGGGGGAGTAAAAATAAATCTACATTAATAAAAGGAAAAAAATTCCATCCTGGTGTCTGAGTAGAATCAAGCAGTTAGGCGTGTATGAGGTGAAGAGGGTTAATTTCAAGAGTGCTTTCAAAGAAAGAAACAGGAGACTACCTAGCTAGGAGCAGTGGGGAAGCTGGTAGTACATCAGCAGCAGAGAAAGAAATCCAGGAAGTCATAAGGTAAACATGGGTCTCCACTTCTTGGAATGTATCAGAAAGGAAAAGACTCTGTCCAGAAAGGAATGGCAGAGAAAATACAGAATTAAAACAGGCAAGTCAACGTTCATAACAAGCTGACCATGAAGAGAGGCTCAGATTTTGTTTGCATGCCCAAGATATATATGCAAGATAATTGCATGCCACTCAACAGGAAAAAGAAGAGAACCCATTCTAGCCATTTTCTCCACCTTCTCTTCCATTTTGGAGAGGTTAGCATGCTACGGTGGCTTTGGCAGTTAACTGAGCTGTTCACTGTTCTTTTGGCAAACTGCTGTTTACATCCTATTTCTTAGCCCTCACAAAGCTAAGTGGTATTTTCATATTACATTTTTATGCCTTGGTCAAAGTAGCTGTAAAGGGAGCTAACTGCGGTGTTCTTGGAAGCCCAGAGTGACTGAAGTTAACAAGTGTTAAATCACCCTGTACTTGGCATCAGAAGATGGGATTTTCTACACTCAATATAGATTAGTAGGGAGTAGCCTGACCTTGCAGCCATATAATTCAATGCATAAATTTCTTCAGGTGACTATTTTCCTGAAAGTCCTTGGCATTACATTGCATGAACAGGTACATCCATATGTGTGTCTGCTGGATGGGGATTTAAAGGAATCAGTTAATCTTTCCACTGTGTATAATGGGGATCACATTTTGGAACACTTATTTGCTTTTCAGGATAGGCCTCAAAGGTTACTGTTATATGATTAGTTTTGATGGGAACCTTTTTTTATTTCAAAGCAGGAAAAGTGGAAGAAAATCTCTATCTACTGGAAATTGTGGCTCCATTTGATGCAGACTTCAGCCGTTACCAATTAGCCACAACATTTAAGAAGAGTTATTGTAAGAGAGATTTAACCTGTTTGGCACATAACAAAAAGCCAAGCCACAGTTAGGCAAAAATAAAAAACTATTGGTTCAGAGACGATACCTTTTATTACACCAACAAAGAAATTGCAACAACAACAAACAAAAGACTTTTTCTTAGCTCTTCTTCTTGCAGAAAAAGATAAATTTTTGGTGATTTCTTAGTTGGTCTTATAAAATTTATCATCTCTGAACCAAGAGTTCTGACTTTTTGCATTTCTTTTTGTCTCAGACAAACACGGCTACCAAATACATCCAAGCCACAGTTACATTATCCAGTAAGAAAAAAAATCCATGCAAGTGTAAAATCATGCAAGGTCAGCTGTATCTCTGTTAACTAAACACAGAAAACAGTTAGCTGTCAAAGCTAACTATAGGTTAGCTGTCAAAGGATGAGAGTTTGAGTGAGGCTTCTGGGTTGAGCAATACAAGCAGAGAAAAAGACTTTGACCAGACAGCAGTGCACTGACAATGAACAGTAACTTACGCCATAGCTGATCCCACAGATTTCCATGGGACTGTGCCCGGGCGTAAGGTACTATTCAGGGAGAGTCATGGAACAGCAATCTGGCTCTTTGAGAGTTGGGTGTGCAAATAGTAACAGTAGCCTGACTCCATGTCTACTGGAGCCCAAGGAATGTTACCAGGCACTAAATCAAGCTTACAATGAACAGTACTTGCTCTCAATTCAAATCCGAATGCCAGGTCTGAATGACAGCTGCTGTTTCTTACCAGAAAGGTAAATGGCATCATTAGATTTCCAACCCCGCACCCCAACCCTCCCCACCCCCCAATTTCCCAGTAATAATTGTTTTACCTTCCCACTACAATACTAAATGAGTTAATAGTTATTTGTGTTTTGTTTTTTTTAAAAGATGGCTGAGACACATTACTGCAAAAGCAAGTGAATGCAGGAACATCCTTGGCTTGCCAGGCTTTATGTGAAGCTTGCACTGCAAGTTAAAAAACAAAAACAAAAAAATGTTAGAAATAATAGAAACCCAAAAGCGAAAAAGGAAAGGAAAGGCAAAGGGAAGCTGACACTGATATGCTGCTGTGGTTGATGCTCATGCAAATGGGAATTAAATTAAAAAAGGTGCAAAACAAACCTCCATGTTGAGTCAATTCTATTCTATATGATAAGCAAAAGCAAAGGAAAACTAAATGGATGTGGGGGTGGAGGGAAATCCTCTCAACCAACCAACCAACCACATAGTGAATCTTATGCCTTCTTTTTCAGAAAGGGCTACTGATCTTTTGACTGCACATCTTGGAGGACACAATTTTCAGAGGATAGGTGCTGAGCATCAGGCCCTTTGATGACCCAACCTGAAATAACTTCAAAGGTCTGTCTGCACCAAAGGGGCATAAGTCAGTCAATGGAAGCCATTCTGTAATGGGTGTTGGATCAGACTGTAGATGAACTGGCAGCATGCTTGGAATTTAAGGATTTATGCTGGGGCTGAATATGGGCCATAATATTTGGAAACTGCTTTGGAATTTCCATGTAATAAAGGAAACTGGAAAAGAAGTCTCTTGTGCTGCTTTTTAAAATGGTTTTAAAAGCCCAAGGAAAAACTTCCAACTTCTGTACAGTTTGACATGCTGCAAGCATTGTAATGCACTGGGCTTGGTAGGCATCTGATAACCTATCACATGATGTAGATGAGGTTCAAAAAAAGCTCCTGGTCACTCTTTTAAGCCAACCTGGTTTTGACAAGCTCTTACCACAGACGGCTACAATCTCTAGGCTGTTTAACTATGCAGCAATGCCAACCCCTCTGTTAAGATTTTTGGGTCTGTGAAGGATTTGGCCCAAATTGCAGCAAAACACAGAAGCACATGCTGCCCAGAACAAGAACACGTTGACCAAATCAAGGCCCCAGCCACAAAAAATATTTTTGTAACTTCTAAGTCTCAAATTCTACTCTTGAATCCACTGGGGGAAAATATAATAAAAAAAAGTACCAAGGACAACACTAGTCTCATAGGATGGGCCCAAGGTGTTGCGAGCCAAAATTCTCTCCGGTGACATCATACCAGAGAGAACCTGGCCCTATGCTTTTATTCGGTCTTGTAAAGAACTGTCCAAATATAATTCCACTTTGAGGAAGGAGCCTCCAAATAAGCTGCATTGGGGGGGGGGGGGGGGGGGGAAACAAACAAA